CTGCCGCAAGTCGCGTTAAAATCACCCCGGCTCTGATCGGCACGCTGTGGGAACACCAGAGCCGGGTCGACCCGCTAAATTACGCAATACCATTGAACGCAATATGCTGACGTCAACACGTCGCGCCAGTCGCTTCTGATCTAAGCAGAATCGACTGTTTCCATTGGATAAACATGGAGCAGCTCCTGTGAGACGGATTCAGACAGATAATGGAGAGAAACAACAAAGCACTCTGACTACGCCCTGCCTTCCTTCCATGCTGCTCTTCATTGTTTACTTTCCTGATTTCTGTCACACTGTTGACATCATCAATGTTAACCCACCGTGATTTCACCAGACACGCATCGGTGGGGGGACAGAGGCCACACAGCAGCCAGCGAGGGGTTAGACCAACTTTATTAGCCAATGGGAAGGGAACCAGATGCCGATTGTTAGCGGGTCGACCCATGATAGAAAAAGACGCGTTAACGCGACATTTTCAGAGGGAAAGAGACTTTAGATGGATCTCTAAGTAGACAGCTTGAGAGGATTTAAGCTAACATTAGTGTCACTAGCCGATCTGTACCATCAGCTCATATGAGCAGATATTCATCCAGGTCATCATTAATAATATCCGACTGAAACGCAGCTGTGGTCCAAACATTTCCTCGCCGCGTGGCGAATGGCGCTGTGGCGTTAACTCGCCAAATGAAAAATTGATTTGGGGAGTTAATTTCGGACCTTCTGTGCAGCTCTTAATCCCGCTGTTCAGGGAGGACGGAGTATACCGATACAAAATTTAAACTAATAATAAAAAAATTAATGATGTATATCATTATTTCTGCCTTTCTGGTTTACAGATTCCTGTAAAGCCCTGGAAGAACGGAGACTTACGTGAACGGTTTCGCACAGTACTCGCTGAACATGGTCACTATTATGTCCAACACGATCTTTGCCTGCAGGGAAAAACATTTTTAGGAGTGAGCCAGTTTCTCCCGGCAACAGTAAGGGGGCGGGGTTAGTGACGGTGGTACCTTGGTGAGATCTGTGGCCGTGCACTCGATGAAGATGTTCTTGGTCTGTAAGCTGATTCTGGAATGATCCCCTGGAACCAAAGCAAACTGGATTATTCCCCGAGCTCTGCTGCAGTTCTGCTCGATTTCCGTTTCAGTGACCAGATGTGATGAAGAACGAGGAGAAGAGCTCACCGTTGATTATAGGAGGCATAGACAGGACGACCCCATTGCTGTCGTAGATGACTGGATAGACGGGCTTGTCTTCGATAATAGGGAGATAATGCCTGAGGTGGCTGTCGGTCTGTGTGAACAGAACCATCCTGGGTTAGTTCTGTTTTTGAGCCCAGAATCCAGCCAGCGGAGGCAGCTGCTTACCTTGTAGAGGCTCATGAGTTGGGTGGCGGTGAACTCTTTGGTCTGGTTCAGGGGCCTGAAGCTGATGTCTCCGGGAGCTTTGGCTGTGTAGGTGAACGGGCCACAGATGGTGTCCAAGTCATGAGTGCCGATGGCCACCAGGCTCCTCTTCCTGTTTAAACAGTCCAAGATCCACTCAGTTATAAAAAAACAAAAACATGTTGATGAATTTTTTTCCTCTAATGCTAACAGAGACGGAGAGTAAAGCTGATTTATAGTCAGAAATCAGGTCGTCTGCGTATAAATCAGCAGGTTTACTCTTCAAGTGCACCAGCTAGAATAGCTATATATTTTATTAGCTATTATTAATTGTAGTCTAAATCAGTAAAATAAGATTGTTTTACCTGTTGAAAGTTTGAAATTAAACTTTTATTTATAGAAATTGATCGATTACCCCAAACATTTCCCGCAGACCACGTTTTCACATTTACGACGAACGTCATATGATTAGATTTTATTGTGCGGCGATGAAGCACCTGGCGCCGTTTTCTTTCCCTCGCCAAAGCTTCTGTAGGGGCTGGTAACCTGCGCTCGGAGCGCGTGTGGTTTTACCAGCTCCGGGATTAAATCTCTGCGTGAGGTGGTGACGTTCAAACAGCTCCGGAACAAAACAGACATGTTAATAGCTGCCGCGTCCAGGAGATGATGAAGTACAGCCACAGGCCGCCTTCGCGCCGGAGCTTTAATAGGATACTTTGGAATCATCTGATGCGACACATCCACGCCGACCTTGGTGAGATTATAGTCGTCCACGGGCTCTGGTTTGGCTTTTGGGCTGCTGAGTGAACCGGCTGACGTGTGAGCAATGATATCCAAACCATGAACTAAAGTAGGGATGCAGGATATCGGGATTTTGGCCGATATCCGATATTTTAAAACTCATGTAGCCGATAAC